TTTAACCCTTTTTTAATATAATTTTAAATCTAACACTGTCGGATTTTTTTTTAAAACTAACACTTTTGACCGCGCCTATTTCCATAGCGCGGCCAAATGCCTGTGTCGCGCCATGCATGGTGGCGCGGCAGAGGGCTGACGTGGAGAGGGCCAGACTGGGGGACCGATGACGTGGCAGGTCCTGCCGCGCCACCGACCTTGGCGCGGCAGTGTCGCGCCCTGTTTCGTGGCGCGGCAGGACCAAATATACCTCCCGAGCAGCCACACCACATGGCCACTGCGCCCGTGGCCCGCCCGTGGTACCTGGATGGTTGAATCGAAACGCGTCGCGCCCGTCTTTTGTTGAGTTTTTTTCACGGCCAAATAGAGAATTTGATAAGCCAATGATTACTTTTTCGTCTTTCATAATACGGTTATGCACCATTTTAACTAATCGATTATGAAAAATTGCCACCGGCGTCCAGATACGTCGGGTCTGCCGGTTCCTGAACTAATTCGTACTTAATCTCGCCAGTAGTGCTGCCGCGACTCAAAGAAATAAATTTGTTGGCAACACATTGGGAGTGTAGCCAACGTCGGTATAGTCGCGTCGATGGTGCGTACGGCTCGTATCCTGCAGGTATATAATACGCACGATTACTTATAATTCTTTATGATCGTTAGTTCATGGAGCCTACGTATTGAAACAAAATATCTTTGTTAGTACCAGTGAGGCACCTTGGGTGCCAAGTGGGCACCACCTAGCTGAGACATGCCGATCTCGTCCTGCGGCCATTCGTCCCACTAGTCGTGTTGTCCGCGGAAGCCCGGGGGTTCATCGTCGTCGTCATCGTCCTCCTCCTCGTCCTCGGTTGCAGGGTCCTTCCCAGCGCTATGATGTGGTGGTGTACGCACCACGGAAGTGGCACCTGTCATCGGCTGAGAAGAGCCGGCTGGTGTCCTCAAAGAGACTGAAGACGTGCCACCCGACCGCGTCGGGAGTGACGGTTCCTCATAAGGAGTGTCCATCTTTGCTCGACACCGAGCTAGCTTCCTGCAGACTCTTCTTCACCTTCGCATAAATAGGCGTTAAAGTTAGTTCATTACCCAAGCGCCTATATACTAAAGAAACATTTTGAAGCGGATAAGTTTATGTTTACCTCCACAAAAGCCGCGAACGCTGGCCCCGCCCTCTAGACTAAGTAAAAGCCGAACGCTGCGCCCGTTGGACAACCTTGATAATTGTGTCGCCTGGGTACAGAAACGCGGTTGGACAATTTTAGTACACATACTTAATACCGAAAGGATAACAAATTGTACCATTCAAGTATCTTACCACATATCTTTGAAGCGGGGCTCTCTATAGCTGTGTGTCCTCCCTAGTGGTAACGTCGTACACATCTTCGATGACATCTTCCTCCGAGTCCTGGTCAATCGCCACGTCAGTGTACGGGGGCTTGATATGTGTCCTCGTAGACCTGTGAAGCCACCGTAGGTACTCGTCGAAGGTGTGCTGGTCGTGTGGAGGACCCGCAAGGACTGCATGTGGTACCCTAGTCTGCCACAAATGGATGTACGGGCTGTGTGTCACGTGCCAATCCTTGGTCTTGCACCTCTTTCTGCGGACAAACCTGCAACAAAACGATGTTAGTTGTACCAAACACACCTCTGAATTGTAGCATTGTTATTAATCGATAACGCACCCGTGCAATTCTTGGTTGGTGGAGTAAAACGGTGGTGGGTAGGCTGTCATTCTTCCAAACTATCTGCAGACCCGGATGGGCAAGTGAATCTCGATCACATGGAAGAAAATAAGAGGGACGTCGTAGTGATACTCGTGTGACTCGTCCCTAGTGACAGGACTCAGATAGCACTGGAGTTCCGGAGAATTCCAAGGACACCAAAACACCTGAAATTTCATAATTGTGTTAGGTTGTGATATAGTGTACATCGAAGAAGACACTGGTACGATAGTATAGAGAGCGTAACCTGGTGTTGTGTCAGGACGTCGAGACCGTCCGTGTACTCCCTGTACTTGCGCCACACATTCCCTCTAACTAACTGTGCTTCCATCCAGATATATAGAGCTGTAGGGAGTGTATCATGCCCGTTCCATCACTGCGTTGAACATGATAATTAATTAGCAACAAATAATCTCATCATATCTAACTGCCTGCAAGAATATAATGAATTGAAGTACTTACCGGTAAACCATTATTAAAGGGCCTCCCAACGGGCAATCGTTCCCAACACCAAACCTGGAGTAGGTAGGAGCAACCCCCAAGGTTCGCATGTCCTAAGGTGCGATGACAAGCAACGCATAGCTGTCGATACGTTCATGCTAGGACTGCGCTGCCCCAGCTGTACCCCGCTATGGTCTCCCACGGCTGGCGAAGTATGTCAAGGAAGATCCAGCTGATGGTGTTGCCCGAGACGTCTAGGAAGAGGAAAGCACAAAGAAAGTGCCACAGCCACACTCGAGCGAACCTGTTGATCTGAGCCTCCTCAGCTTGTGGGTCCAAGTAATCAAAGCGCTCTATGATCCAGGACGACGAAACACCGAAACTTTTCCTGTAATTGATCAAAGAAAATGAGACCCGATGCCAGTTGTAAAGCAATGCAGGTATTAAATAGGATTTAATTACTCACTTGTTTTTCTTGAAAGCATCGTCGTCCGGTGGAAAAAAGCCAGTAAACTGAGCCGCTAGCTCCCTCCAGTGATCGTTGTCAACTATCCCTGTCACTAGGAGTCCCCCCAACCGAAGGGCTAAAATAGCCTTCACGTCCTGCAACGTCAAGGTCATCTCGCCACAAGGTAGGTGGAACGTGTGGGTCTCAGGCCTCCACCTGTTATAAGAATAGAACGACTGTTAGTTGCCTCAAATTTGTTATAAGAAAGTTTACGTACAAAGAATGCACTCGCACCTGTCTACAGCTGCAGTAAGTAGTGCTGGGTCAAGAAGCGAAAGACCGTGGTTGACAATACGGACAAGCTCAAGGAAGCCGGCACGCCGTATATACGGCGTATAACGCTCGTCCCACTGATGCACCCTGGTGTGCGTGCGGGGCCTCAAAGGAGGCAAGGACACCTCTGCGTCGTTGTCATTCAAGATGTGTGCTCGGTGCTGGTCGTCTACTCCACCTTAAGAATGGGGTACAACGGGTGTTGCGTGGGAAGAACCATCCTGTTACAAATTGATAAACAAAACGTTAGAGTATTCAAATTAACAAAATTCAAGTTAACATTGGTAAGTTCACAAACAAATCACAAACAAATTCACTAACCTAACTAGCCTAAATCCCTAAACCCAAAATTCTAACTATACTAGATAATAAATACATAGTCAATCCATATAAAACTTTGGTTCCAAAATTACAAGTAATCCATCCGTCTCAAAATAAATACACATCGTGCTTCTCGAGTAGTCAAATATGTTTAAGTTTGATCAAAACTAAAAAAACGGTATCAATATTTGTATCTTCTAATAAGTTTATTACGAAAATATACTCCATGCTTAATGTAATAGTACCTATTATGTATCATAAATATTAGTACGCTATTAGGTGATAACAATAGTCGTTCTCCGTGGCATAACAATAGTCGTTCGTTGTGCATTTATTTAGGACGGAAGGAGTACTTCCTCCGTCACATAACAATAGTCGTTCTAAGATATCGCAAAGACACTAATACTCAATGAAAATAGACTCGATTTCCCTAGATGCTCCTACAAATGCTAGCACTAGCAGACCATCATCAACTCTTTTGCTTCTACGCGAGACACGTGGGTTACCTTAGGAATAAAAAAAATCCTAACTATACTAGATAATAAAAAAAATGAAATCGAGATGGAGGTACCTTAGGAGCGGGCAGCCTTGACGCGCCGGCGTTCGTGGCGCGGCCGGCTAGGGCGATGCGCGGCGTGGGCGAGCGGCCGAGGCCGGGCCGGGCGGGCGCGGGCGGGGCGAGGTCGGGCGGGCGCGTGCGGCCGCTGGCATGGCGCTGGCGGCGGCGGCGGGCGGGAGGGCGGGCAGGGGTGCGTGCGTGCGGGCGGGCTCGGACGCGGTATATATTTGGCCCAGCCGCGCCACGGATCAGGGCGCGGCACTGCCGTGTCAAGGTCGGTGGCGCGGCAGGACCAGCCACGTCATCTGTCCCCCAGTCCGGCCCTCGCCACGTCAGTCCTCTACCGCGCCAGGGCATTAGGCGCGGCACAGGCATTTGGCCACGCCAGGGCAATAGACGTGACCAAAAGTGTTAGTTTTAAAAAAATCCGACAATGTTAGATTTAAAATTACATTCAAAAAAGGGTTAAAATTAAAAAAAATCCTCGGTCCGCAGGGTATGCCGATGCATACCCGGTATACCCTCTAGATCTGCCACTGCTCATACTAGTATTTTGTTCATACTGTTTAATCTCACTGGTACCGAGCAATGTTCATGCTAGTATTTCTGCTTATGTTGTTTTATTCTGAAAATCGACTATCTTCTCTTACGTGTGGGCTGGGCAGCCGCGTCCGGCGTGACTTTGGCAGCGGCGTTGGGCTTGAACAGGGCGACGACGCCCAGCGTTATTTGGGACTTTGGGTGCGTCGTCGGGCGCGGACTGGTTGGCTGGAGTGGCTGACGATTCGACGTCCCGTCCATATCCGATGGAATAGATACCTGCTATTTTAAGTCCTAGCAACGTCAAATCTTCTGAAAAGGAAAGAAATTATTTGATGAAAAATATAAAAACATAGAGAAAATTTGGCCTTACGAATATATGGCCATGAATAGCCAACGGCGATCTTTCAGTTTCAGAGGACCATGACTAGTAGGAGCCAGGAATTGCTTCTCCGATATTTCCATGACACACCAATCACATCAAGGTAGATAAGTACCTGCAGACTATTTCAAACACTGGAAACGCTAGAGTTAAATGTATCACCATAATTAATCCTTAACATCTTGTCTTGTTATATTACTCCAGACCAAATCGCTCCTCGCAAAGAACAACAGAGAGATCCAAAGCAAAGCAACAATGGGCACGCTTGACATCACCTTCATCCATATAGCCATAACCCTGCTCGTTTTTACCCACACCAAGAGCTCCACAGAGGCATCTACCCACAGAAATGATACACTCAAGAGGTGCACAGCCCATGAGCGGTCAGCTCTCCTCGCCTTCAGAGCTGGCCTTTCAGACCCTGCAAACCGCCTGTCATCATGGGGAGGCGATAACTGTTGCGAATGGAAGGGCGTCCAGTGCAGCAACACAACCGGTCATGTTGTTAAGCTCGATCTACAAGGCCCGGGCTGCGACGACAGTGTTTTGGGTAAGCAGGTGCTTGGAGGTAACATAAGCTCCTCACTTGTTGGTTTGCAACACTTGCAGTATCTGGACCTTAGCTGCAACCGGTTCAGCATGGTGAAAATACCCGAGTTCTTGGGCTCTTTACATGAATTGAGATATCTCGACCTATCCATGTCTAGCTTAGTTGGAAGGATACCACCACACCTGGGTAATCTCTCCAACTTGAGTTATGAATCTTGATTCCAGTTTTGGTGACACGCACTCCACGGATATCACCTGGCTGTCACGGTTATCTTCCCTTGAGCACCTCGACATGAGCTCGGTGAACCTCAGTACCATCACGAACTGGGTTTCCGTGGTGAACAAGCTTCCATCTCTTGTAAGTCTTGATCTTTCTTTCTGTGACCTTAGCACCTGCCCGGATTCTCTTTTGGACTCAAATCTGACGTCTCTTGAATCTCTCAGCATTTCGGATAACAGTTTCCACAAGCATATCGCACCCAACTGGTTTTGGTATTTAACTAGCCTCAAGCAACTTGATGTCTCATTCAGTCAGTTGCATGGTCCATTTCCGTATGAGTTAGGGAATATGACCTCCATGCTGAGACTTGATTTATCAGCAAATGACCTTGTGGGCATGATACCTTCAAACTTGAAAAATCTTTGTAGTCTGGAGGAGTTATTTTTGTTTTGGAACAACATCAATGGGAGTATAGCAGAATTCTTCAAACGATTACCTAGTTGTTCATGGAATAAATTGAAGACTTTGTTTCTACCCATAAACAATCTGACAGGAAACCTACCAGACAAATTAGAACCCCTCAGAAATTTGACACGACTTGATCTCAGTGATAACAAGCTCACTGGTCCTGTGCCACTGTGGGTAGGACAGCTCACATATCTAACTGACTTGGACCTAAGCTCCAACAACCTAGACGGTGACTTGCATGAATGGCATTTGTCAGGCCTAGTAAACTTGGAGCGCTTGTCTCTGTCTGACAACTCCATAGCCATCAGAGTGAACTCGACTTGGGTTCCTCCCTTTAATCTTACAGAGCTTGAACTTTCGTCATGCGTCCTGGGGCCTAAATTTCCAACTTGGCTCAGATGGCAAACAAATATGTATAATTTCGATATCTCAAACACAAGCATATCTGACATGGTTCCAGATTGGTTCTGGACAATGGTTTCCTCTGTTCAACGTCTGAACATCAGAAGTAATCAGATTAGTGGCTCCCTATCACCTAAATTGGAACTTATGAGAGCATCTGCAATGGATCTAAGTTCTAACCAGTTCAGTGGTCCAATACCTAAGCTTCCTATTAATCTAACGATCTTGGACCTTAGTAGAAACAATTTATATGGTCCACTGCCACTGGAGTTTGGAGCGCCCAGGCTGGCATCACTTTTTCTATATAACAACTTCATTTCTGGCACTGTCCCATCTTCATTATGCAAACTACGGTCACTACAATTCTTAGATATCTCAGGTAATAAGCTCACTGGATCGCTTCCGGATTGCCTAGCCTATGAATACACAATAAACATGACAAGTTTGAGTATTCGTATTCTAAACTTAGGAAATAACCACCTCTCCGGTGAATTTCCATTATTTCTCCGAAACTGCCAGAAACTCATATTCCTTGATCTGTCACATAATCAATTCTTTGGGGCTTTACCGTCATGGATTGGGGATAAGCTACCATCTTTGGCATTCTTGCGGTTAAGGCATAATATGTTTTGCGGTCACATTCCAGTGGAGTTGGCGAATCTGATTAATCTTCAGTATTTGGACCTCGCCTGCAATAATTTCTCAGGCATTATACCAAAATTTATTGTCAACTGGAAGGGGATGACACAAACAGAAACAGGTGAAGATCCACTGGCTACTGCTATGGCATTTGGTACAAATGGAACGATGGAATATAATGAGCAGCTATATACAGTAGTCACAAAAGGTCAAGAGCAGCTATATACAGGAGAAATAATTGATATGGTGAATCTGGATTTATCTTGTAACAATCTTACTGGAGAGATACCTGAAGAGATCTGCACTCTCGTTGCACTGAATAACTTCAACTTGTCATGGAATGCCTTAAGTGGAGAAATTCCTAGAAAAATCGGTGACTTGGCACAAGTAGAATCCCTCGACCTATCACACAATGAGCTATCCGGTGAAATCCCCACAAGCTTATCAGCTCTCACGTATTTGAGCCACTTGAACCTGTCATATAACAATCTATCAGGGAAGATACCATCTGGAAATCAGCTGCAAGTGCTCGATGATCAGGCATCAATCTATGTCGGCAACCCAGGTCTCTGCGGTCCTCCTCTCACAAAGAAATGTCCTGAAACTGACTTGATCCCTGCTGCCCCAGAAGATCAAAAGGATGGAAGCGATAATGTTTTCCTTCTCCTCGGCATGAGCTCCGGATTTGTGATAGGGCTCTGGACAGTCTTCTGCATCCTCTTGTTCAAGGTGAAATGGAGAATTGTTTGCTTCACATTCTATGATAAATTGTATGACTGGTTTTACGTGCAAGCAGCTGTTGGCTTGGCTTCTTTGACAAGAAAAACGGATACCAGGAGCTGATATCAGAATCAGCTGCCCGTTTCGTTGCTTATTACTTAATGTTGTGATTTTAAATAATGTAATCTGCATTTATCGTTTCAAAAAAAAGTGTGTTTACATAAATAGAAGTGATCCACAGCAGTGGTATATGGCTTCACCTTTGGTATGTTCATGTCTTTGAATTAATTAATGTATATTTTCCCTCAACATTAATGAGCACAAATGCCTGTATGTTACTGCAGGACATACAATCTGTAGTAGAGTCATCTGGACAACATGCAACTCAGAGATTTATTCAACAATCACATTATACGTTTTCATTTATCTTGGAACCAAACTCTATAACATATCCAGACGCGTTCTACACAAACTCGTATAAACTTAGGATGTTTGCAGATTTGTCCAATCATCAGGTAATGTATTTCAATTTAACTTGGGATTGGACTCCCCACCGTATACTTGGACACGCTGCTCTAACTTGTAAAAGTATAGAAGAGAGCAAATGATAAAAAAAACGCTCCATACTTCAATATTAGTACATAATATTACTTTTTTAGAAAATATAGTTCATATTTGAAAACTTATCCAAAGCACTTTCTTTCTACACTCGAAAATGGAGATTTGACAAACAAAACTTAACCATGAATATGTGCCTCTCTTCTACTTACCTTGTATAAGACGACTAAATGTCTCTATTCTTCACAATGCAATTCTTGGTAGGGATAGCATAACACATAGTATATAGGCAAAAAAAAACCACTTAATTTATTGATTAAAGGTTTGAATTGTTTGATTATTAGGCAGGTTGAACTTCCTACTTAACATTTAAATATGATGACTTGTGCAAACAAAAAAAACTAACACAACAATAGTTTGTTAGTGAAATCTATTTGTCCAAAGCTAGGTTATGAATTTAATTCTCTACTTATAAATTAAACTTTTCTGATTTATCTTTATTATTCCCTCCTCTACTTTGAGAGAGACCAAGAAAGAATGAAACGAAAAAGACAAATGTAAAAAAAAGAAAGAAAGTGATAAAGAGATGGATCCGTAAAGAAGACACGGAAAAAGAAAAAGGAATAGATCAAAAAGGAAGGAAACAAAAACAAACGAATAATAATATGGAATAAAGAAATAAGAACATGTCAAAAAAATATTATGAAGTCCTATTCAGTCCAACTTACTCGTTATCTTAGTATTTTGGAAGTATGGTCGAAACAAATATTATGAACAAATGTCGCTATGGACTGCTCTAGCTGGCCTGAACGCTCTAGAGATATGCATTGCCATGGGTGTACATTTGCATGTGAAGGAAAAAAATAAAACCAATTTTGCTATATCATCTCGGGTGAAAAAACAAACTTTGCTCCTACGCCCAAAATTTGTGATCATGTTATGAATTAGGGTGCTTTAGAAGAGTTTTGCACCCCGATTAAAGTGTTGTAAGAATCAGGTGAAATATTACTTCTCCACACCTGAATTTCTACTACTATTTACACTAATTACATCTAGAAATTACAACAAATAATCATTGTAACTCTGTAAAAGTTTATTGTATGTAAATCAAGCATAAGTTGGTATTGACTAAAATTGGAGTGTGACAGAGAGATGATTTTCACCTAAATCTTAGTTTAATTCTCAATTCTACTTAGAAATTACACAAATTTTTTAAAAAAAGCAAAATTTGAAAAGTGGTAGAAAAGTTTCCACAAAAATGTGTGAGAGAGAAAAGTTTCTCAATACTTAGGAATAATAATGGGGAAGCAAAATAAAAAAAATCAGGGGTGCGGAAGAGGATTTTCACCGACTAGATAATTCCGATGAAATTTATCACTTGCACCACAAATAATCTTCTCCAGCAGGGGAGTCTGCGGGCGGCCTCTCTTTAACTGTAACCACTGCAAAAAAATAATAATAATAAGTTGAAAAACTCTGTTTAGGCCAGGGCCACCTATACTAGTGTGGATTATGAGTTTGGGCCACAGACTAGATCTGCTCTTATGCTGAATGGTACCTTTAGCCCAATGCATTTCGGTAGACCGGGCTGGAGGACAACAGGAAGGACTCCATGAGGTCCAAGCATCCAACTTCCTTGTTGAATCTTTGGCCCAATTAATACGACAGCCAGCCAAGTATATTCCTGCAGAAAAAGTTCATTTTACCTCCCTGAATTATCCTCAAAGTCTAGTTTTCCTCCCTGAACTCCAAAACCGGATAAGTCACCTCTCTTAACTTTTAAAACCGTTCATTTTACCTTCCTGACCCGGTTATAGGTGGTTTTTAAAGTCAGTTTTGTCTTTTTCTTTTTTTTTAGTTCGTCTGAATTTTTGAAAATTATAGTAAATCACATAAAAATCACAAAATAGAAAATCCAATTTTCTTGGACTCTACATGAGTATATCTACATGGTTAATATATAATATGGTATGCTTTAGTACAAAGTTTTTGTTGTAGCTTTAGATTTATGTTTTTCTGTAATTAATTCAAAGATGCAGTTTCTATGGTCTAATTGTGATGAAATTTTTATGGCGGGCTAATTATTCTATGATTGAAATGTAGTAAAAATTTATGCTCATTTGATCATGTATAACCGAGTTATAGATTTATTTAGTTTTATGCATGTTAAATAGTTTTAAAATAGTTAAAAGTGTGTAAAAATAGAAACGAGTATGAAATTTTTACTACAGTTAAAGCATACAATAATTAGACTACCATAAAAATTTCACAACAATTGGACCATAGAAACTGCAACTATGAATTAATTACAGAAAATAATAGATCTAAAGATACAGCAAACACTTTGTACCAAAACATACCATAGTATATGTTTAATGTCTAGATCTACTCATGTGGAGTCCAAAAAAATTATATTTTACATTTTATGATTTTTTCTATGATTTATTATGATTTTTTAAATATTCAGCCAAAATAATTAAAAAAGAAAAAGACAAAACCGCCTTTGAAAACCACCTATAACTAGGTCACTGAGGTAAAATGAACGGTTTTAAAAGTTGAGGGAGGTGGTTAACCCGATTTTTAAGTTCAGAGAGGAATGCTAAACTTCGAAGACAATTCAGAGAGGTAAAATGAACTTTTTCCTATTCGTGCCTAGAAACGCCCACTCTCTTACTAGGATGGCTTTGTGGGCCAGGATTGGGGGCCCAGTGCCCGGTTTGACGACGATGTCGGTGTGGACTCCCTTATAACGTTAGATCTATCTAATGGAAGGTTTCCCCCAAAAAAAAAGATCTATCTAATGGAAACTGAAATGAAGATATATATCAGCACGGGCTATTGAGAGAATAACCCACAAGCCAATTCATATATACAGGTAACTTCCTCATATTTTGAATGGCGTGGAGATCCGTGGGAACAAGCAAATTGATTTTATCAAGTCAAGATATATTGGTCAAATCTAATTAGAATGCGTTTGTATAGATGGTAAGTGTATGTGCGTATGCAAGAAACTCAAGAAGCCGTGGTTCCATCCGTTAACAGTTTCCTGCAGAACGACCGAGAGCGAAATATGGACAGCTGGTAGCTTTTCGACATGATTATTGCACAGCTGCTGGTCGTGCATATACTACACTAGCATACTACAAGATATATGCTCCATATGGGGACTGAATATGCCTAGTCGTCTGTCTCTCTGGTGTTGTTGGTCCACATAGTTACTACTCCTCGAACAAGAAGCGATCGAGGAAAAAGGAGCAGCGGCACATTCAAATGGACCGCTCTGGAGGGTGAAGTGTTCTGCACGAGCCACCAATGATATGATAGGTGCACCTCGTGCCGTGCCTGAGAGAAACTGTACGCTGATTACATCGATCGATCGACCAGGAGACACGAGTTATGGATCCGCAGGCACTGTAGGTATCCCAGCTATAGCGCCTCTCTCTAGGCCCAGCGGCATCTGCATGGATACATAATGAGGGCAAGCGGATCCCAACGGCCCAAGTCCCGGTAGTTAGGCCGTGCGATGCAGATGGCAGATGCAGTAGCGCAGGCAGGAAAGAGGAAACGCATCTCCCATCCATCCATGCATGCATCTGTTGCTTGCTGCCTCTCTGCTCTGATAACAGCTAGCCTCATCAGATTCGTTCGCCCATGAACGACGCCACGACCCACAATGCATGGAGCATGATGGTCCCTCCCGGGCCGGTCGTCCCGTGGACACGCACGGCATACGGGCCGGCATGGACCATGCAAGGATAATACGGACCACGTACTGGAGTACGTACTCATGTCGCGCAGTAGCATGTACGCTGGACCAGGAAAATACGTACGTATCTACGCAGCAGCATCTGCCACTGGGCAGACAGCAACAGTACACGCCTAGTCCTACGAGCGAGAGAGCTTGGCCGCCCAGCATCGCAACGCAACGCAGTTACGCAGCGCAGCCGGAGCCACGATGGACCATGCATGGCTATAATTTGGCTGGCGCTCATTATGAGTCTGAGTATGAGCAGTTTCCACTTTCATTTCCGGTTCGCCCGGCCGGCTCCCTCGACCTGGGGCCGCCCGGGGGTTTATGTGCGCCACTCCAAGTGATTGTCACGGGTGGTGGCTTCGGCAGTTTGGCGGTCTGCTCTTCTTCTTCTTCTGTGTTCCCGTGTGTAGACTGATGATTGTAAAGTGCTGTACTCCTACAGCTAACGGAGCGAAATAATGCCTCTCGATGGCTTTTGGGAGGCTGAGGACCAGCATGTTCGTTTGGCTGTGGTTTATCGTAAACTATCGTAAATTTTTAGTTGGAATAGTATTTTTCTCTCACACAAACTAGACAGCAGTACTTCTTCACGAACCAGCAACAAACCGAACCAGCCAACCGAACAAGCTGCGGTTTGGTAGCTTCATCTGATTCTGATTCTCTATGAAAGCTTATTCTCTGAGAGAAGTGATTATATGGCTGAAAATGATTCTCTTCGATTCTTTAGCATAAACTCTTGAAATTATAATGGAGAATCATTTTACATAATCAGGAGAAGCTATTTTTTTCAGCTCTCAGCCTCCTAATTTAT